GCTTTCAAAGACTTTACAAATGGGCCACAGAAGCCAAATCTCTCCAAGGTTTGAAAAATATAAGGACAATCTAAACTGTCATATGCTTTTTGGGCATCTAAGCTTAAAAGAGTGGGTTTTGGGGACGTGTTGATGAGAACGACCAGGTCAATGGTCCTCCTAGTATTATCCGCTGTATGTCTAGCTGGGACAAATCCCACCTAGTCTCTGTGTATAATTTTGGAGATGCATTTGGCCAGTCTATTGGCTTTTTGTGAATAATTTGTAGTCAGAGTTCAACAAGGCTATGGGGCAATAATTATCTGGGAGAGCGTGGTCTTTGTCTGACTTCGGGATCACAGAGATGTATGAGTGCATAAAGTCATTCTGTGGGTGGGTCCCTTTTAGGAGAGCCTGAAACAGGTCAAGCAAAGGGGGGCTAAGATGCCAATCAATGATTTGTAATATGAGTAGGGAAGACCATCCGGTCTCAGGGGTTTGTGAGTGGGGAGGTTCCTAACATCTAGAAGTTCTTCCATAGAAACCTCTGCATTTAAAGAATTAACATTGGAAGGTGATAAACGGTGTATTGAGTCAAAAAAAGTGTTAAAAGCAGCCATCTGGAAAGGGGGATAAAAATCAGGAGTAAGGCAATTATAAAGCTTCTAGTAATATTCCTCAAATATTATAGCCATGGCATGTGGGTCATATGTGGGTGTGTCATCAGGCTGGTTTAAATGACCCTGGAGATAAGGGGGTGTTTGAGATTTGAGTTTATTCACTAGCATTCGGTGTGGTTTGTTGGAAAACTCATAAAATTTGTGCTTGGCCCAGGTAAGAGATTGAACTGTTTTATGTAGATCAAGAGCCCTGATTTGATCACGTATATAGGAAACCTTTTTTAACTGGGGTATAGAGGGCTTATTAAGCAATCGATGTTCCGCTATGGATAGTTGGCATAATAAGGATTGCCTGGCGTGGACAAATTTTTTCTTCAAACGAGCACCAATAGAGATACAGAGGCCTCCGATGACGGCCTTATGGGCTTCCCAAAGGTTAGAGGGTGAGGCTACTGTGCCAACATTTAAATGAAAATAAGTGTCCAAAACCTGGGACAGCTCCTTTCAAATCTGCTCTGTGCGCAGAAAGCTTTCATCAAAGCACCAGTGACAAATTCTAGGAGTGGATTTAGAGAGGATGAGAGCCAGTGATAATGAGGCATGATCTGACCATGTTATTGGGTTGATCTCCGAAGAGACTAGAGAGGGGATCATGGGGGTGGTGATAAAGAAGTGATCCAACCTAGACTACATGCTGCGTGGATTAGAGAAGAACGTACATTGCCTTTGGAGAGGGTGCTTAATCCTCCAGGCGTCAAAGAGGCGATGCTCCCTAATCAATTTGCGGAACACTCTAGATGTGGAGCATAGTCTCCTCGACGGAGTAGGGGTGAAGAGCACTCTTCTTCTGTCTTTATCAGGTGACATGACTAGGTTAAAATCTCCTCCAACTATCATACAAGGAGTTGATATCGAGCATAACTTGTCTAAAGTCTGAGAAAGAAATAACAACTGACCAGAGTTGGAAGCACACAAATTCAAAAGTACTAAAGGAGTATCAGCATACATACATTCCAATAGAACATAACGACCATGTGGGTCGACTCGAGAGGAGGAGACCCTCAGGGAGCAGTTTTTCCTGATCAAGATAGCTACTCTGGCTTTCCCAGAGGGATCAAAAGCTGAGTAGGATTGAGAGAAACTCCTGCTTAAAATGAGTTTATTGGATAAATATAATATCTGCTCCCAAAGATTTGAACTCCTTCAGAGCCATCCACTGTTTTTGGATAGAATTGAGCCCTTTGACATTATATGATAATAACCTTAGAGCCATTATGAGGCAATAATGGGTATGGTAGCTGTGCAACCTGAGTATACAAGGTAGATATCATCGATGAGAAAAGAAAGTTAACATAGGTGGAGAACCAGAATTAAATTATGACAACAGGCCTAACAATAACGAATGTGTCATAAAAAACGGGCTGTGTGGGATACAGCCGGAAGAGCAAAAAATGCTAAAGATATCATCAAAGATATAAACCCGAGGCATCTAGGATGACTCGATTTGTCAGGACTAGGAGCCTGACGTATAGAGGGGTAACACGGCAGCTGTCCCCAAATGACAGGTGCCTACTTTAGTTAACCTTGTAATGTCTATATTCAGGACATACATATGAATGAATACAAAGGTTGATAGGAAGTTCCTATTGTACACAAGAGAATGCAGGAGCATCATCTGGCATCCAGCTCTTGCGTGGCCTGGACGATGCACGTGGTTCCAATAAGGCCTCCTCTGGCAGGGGGGGAAGACCCAGTTGCTTGAAGAAGGTGTCGGCTTCATGTAAATCTCAAAGTAAAACTTGGGAATTGTCCTTGGAGACAACAAGCTTAAAAGGGAATCCCCACCGACAGGCAATATGGTGCTGTTGGAGATGAGCTGTAATTGGCCACAGAATGCACCTCTTGGCTAAAGTGATGGGGGATAGGTCGCTGAAAATCTCCAGTTTGTCCCCTTTGAATTCCAGGGAGGCTTTGTAGCGAGTAGAAATGAGCAAGGCTTCTTTGCTGTCAAAGTAATGAAAATGAATGATAACGTCTCTGGGCCTAGTATCCTCAGGAGGTTTTGGGCCTAAAGATCTGTGGGCTCGGTCCATACGCCAATCAATACCTGGGAACTTAGGGGCCACATTATTAAACAGAGACAGCAAATAACGTTTAAGTTGGGGGTCAGGGACCGATTCAGGGATGCCACGAACATTAATATTCTGGTGGCGTTCCCTGTTTTCCAAGTCCTCCTGTTGGAGCTGTAATTTAGTAATGGAATGTTTCAAATTCTCATTCTCTTCTTCCAAGACATGTATGTATTGCATTCATCAAATTTTGTTTCAAGATGGTCGGTGTGGTCCCCCAGTTGAGTTATCTCTCCCCTAAGCTCCTGAGCCAGTTTCGGCGGAGATAATACAGGTAATATTGTGTAGAAATACCTGTAATTTGTCCTCCAGTATGTCCACTGTCAGGTGGGGGTGTGGAGGCGTAGGAGGCTGAGTGGCTGGAGTGTCTGTGTCCGTCCTCACCATTTCAATAGGCACTGTGGAGCACTTGCTCGGGCCTCCGCAACTACTTGTGGCCGGGGATGCAGGCCTGGTAAAGAAGCATCAAGCATGGAAGGCCTCTGGTCCACAGGAGGTGGCGTGGGTAGTTTCCACCACCCGATTTTCCCATGTTTGAGCTTGCGGTCGTCCCGAGTCAAAAGAGAGCTCTCCCGGGTCTGTGGCAGCTGCAGAAGAGGATCAGGAGGCTTTTGCAGGATGAGGATCAGCAGAGCTCACCTGTTACACGTCCGCCATCTTAGGATGCCGTGCATGCACCCCCAGACCAATATATTTTTAATAAAGCTGGCCAATACATTTCTGCATGAACGTTGTACAAAAAATCTTATCAGTACATTTGATAAAACCGAAATTTCATTTGTTTGCAACATCGGATTTTGAAATGAATGGAATTTCCCAAACAAAATCACATTCCCTGTTAGAATTTTTTTTTTTTTTTTTTTTTTTCATCCTACTCCTTTGAATTTCCTCATCACTACAGTTAAATGATCAGTTTGACCCCATTAGCGATTAGAAAATCATATAAATGTTCCGCAAATTTACATTTCCTTACAAAATTCTTCTACTATATGTCCAGCTTTAGAACTGAATTAATTCACCTTATCGACCCATTGGGGTTTATTTACTAAAGCTGGAGAGTCCAAAATCAGACTCCCTTCTGCATAGAAACCAATCCGCTTCTAACCTCAGCTTGTTCAATGAAGCTTTGGCAATGAAACCTGGAAGCTGATTGGTTTCTATGCAGAAGGGAGTCTGATTTTGGACTCTCCAGCTTTAGTAAATAAACCCCATTATGTCTGGTTGTTGGATGTGGGGAAAAAAGTAAAATTCTTTCAAATACATTTATTGGGTCTTAAATATTTTCAAGATCTCTCAGGTGACATAAAAGATTAGTTGGCTTAACATGGAATAGACAATAATGACATAAGCAATGTTCAGTATCAGCATTCCAGGCCTTTTGACACTGCTTGATTTTCAATTCTCTTCATTTTCTGAAGCTGAAAGTGTAAAGTTGGCCAGAGATGGGTAGAAATCGCTAAAAAATTTGCTTGCACTTGATAAAGATCTCTCGAACGAGCATGCGATTAAGCCATCATTGATACAATTTTTTTTTCCTTCACTTGATGACATATTGGCATTCGTTTATAACATAAAAAGGTAATTTTTTTTTTTTGTCAATTGATTTCATGCACTCATGCGCATAATGATTTTTCGTGTTATTCCCAATGATTCCACTACTTACATTTAAAAATCGTTCATTGACACTACAAAATTCCAACATGCCGGATTGTTTTTTTGCCAGAAATCTTTGCATTTTGAGAATCAAATTGAGCCCGCTAACATTTGGAAAGTCAAACAATCAAGCATTTTCAAGTATTTTTTTTTTACTATTTTCTACCCATCTATGGCCAGCTTTAGAGAACACTCCTATGGAAGTTAGTGAGCGAAGCCATGGTGTATTAGCCTAATTGTATTTATCAAATACCTTGGCTTATAAGATCCAATTCTTTGATCCAACCATCAGGGGGTTTGATCAGTCCTGATCTTTCATGGAAAATATGTAAACCTGATTTGAGAGCCCAACATCGGCATGGCTAAATAAAATAAATATTTTTCCATGAGTTTAAAATATGCCTGAACCATTATTTACCAGTATCCTGGCAAAAAAAACACTTTCTACTAGTGCATGAAATACAGTAGAACGCTGACTTGGCTGAAAATGGACAACTAACATTACTCTGCTCCTTGTGACGTACAGTACTTCAGTAGCAAGGTCATGATAAATTTATGACAGAACAAGTGTATTTTCTCTTTACATTGTATTCATTCATTTATTTGTTTTATGACACAGAAAGGAAGAAATGTGCCAATGTGGTCTGGACAAGCAGAGTCATGTGTCAGTAGCCATGGAGGATAACTTTGGAGCAGCCATTGTGAGCACCTGGAACTCTGCAGATCATACGACAGAAGAGCCTACTGATGCTTATGGTGATATTGAATTTGTTGGTGCTGGGAAGAAACATAGCAAGGTGAGAATTCTTGTTAATTTCAGACATTGTCCCAGTAATATACTTTACAGTATACAGTATGGCCGAAATTGTTGGCACCCTTGTGTCCATCAAGAAACATTGCATTAACACATGTTTTGCTATACACACTTTGATTGCCAATGCCACAAACCTCCAAAAATCACAAATATTGGCACCCTTTCACACTTACAGAGGGGCACAGGTGTGGGCAATGTACCAAAAATAAAAAGAAGAACTTCACTTAACCTTTGCATTGTGTGTCTGTCTGTGCCATCTAAGCATGGACAACAGACTTATGAGGACCTGAGAACCAAAATTGTTTATCAACAATGGTTACAAGTCCATCTCCTGAGAACTAGATTCCTTTGTATGCGCAACATTATCAAGAAGTTTGCAACCCATGGCAGTAGCTAATCTCCCTGGTCGTGGACGGATGAGGAAAATTTAGATAGACAAGCAGAATGACTTGGATACATTCCTGTGTCCTGAGCAGCGTTCCTCCAATGAAATGAAACGCTTTCAGGAGACCCAGGAGGACCCCACTGCTGACACAGAGAATAAAAAAGCAAGACTACAGTTTGCCAAAAATGTACTTGAGTAAAAGCCTTCTGGGAAAACGTCTTGTGGACAGATGAGACCAAAGATAGAGCTTTTCAGAATTCACAGTTCCATAACACCGAAGAAAAGACGTCGCACTGAAGGAGAGAGGGTTTGCGTCCAAGATCCTGGGTCTTCCAGCAGGACAATGACCCCAAACATACAGTTTCTTGCACTAGCAAAAGGATGGCAAAGAAGCAAGTGGCCAGCAATGAGCCCAGATCTAAATTTGAACACCTGTGGAGAGATCTTAAAATTGCTGTTGGGAAAAGGTGTCCTTTCAATAAGAGAGACCTGGAGCTGTTTGCAAAGGAAGAGTGGTCCAAAATTCATTGATGGTTATAGGAAGCGACTGATTTCAGTTAGCAAAGGGTGTGCAGAATACTTTTGTCCAGCCCATTTTTGGGTTTTGTGTGACATTATGTCATATTTGCTTTTCTGCCTCTATATTTGTTCCAATACATACAAAGGGAATAAACATGGCACAAGAAAATACACTGCTATTTTCATGTATGCCATCAAGACAAATTTTATATTTGATTGCCAGGCCCTCACTAATATCCTTTACACTTACAGAGGACACACCAAAAAAAAATGGGCTCCTTGCTGCTGATCTTTCACTACTTATGAATTTTCTGCGTTGTGTTTCCGTATGTAGGCAGACATTTTAGTAGACAAGAATTGATTTGGTATTCTTTAGAGCAAATGACAGAGGAATTGGAAAAAGCAATGAGAAGGGTTCAGATTTTTCCATAACAACCGAAGAAAAGATAGAAGGAGGAAGATCCTTCACTACAGCTTTCTTGCTAATGAGCAGCACAGTAGATTTACAAATGTTAAAAAATATGAACTGGTAGTCAGTCAAAAGTGCCTTATGATTTCACATTCTAGATATATATTAGGCACAAGAAAAACACTGCTATTTTTCATAAGCATTCAAGGCAAAAGGTAGATATTTCAAGGTATTGCTTAGGCACCATTAAAATCTATATATTTTTCCTATAAGATAGCAAACCTTCACTTTTTTAATTGATTCATTTAAAAAATGGAAAGAACTCAGATTTCAAAATAAGATGTGGGCATTCATGCTTGGAATAGATCTGTTAACTAGGAATGTAATTCTTCTCCTATGTTTGCCTATTTTACCCAAGCCTCCTTTACTAAGGACTTAATATTGACAATCTTTCAACAAGATTCTTGAATTTCTCAATTATGAGCATTATTCTAGTTAATGACTAAAACTCTAATAATTTGCAGTGCAGTCCCACATCAGGGCATACATCTAGGCCCCTATGAAAAGCTGCCTCAGGCCTGGAGATATTTCAGAGCTCCCAGGTAGTGATGCTTTTAAAAAGTTCAAAGGCACCAGAGGGAAATGGTGACTCAGCACAGTTGCATGAATAAAGGTGGGGCAGGAGGAGGCCAGAAAGAAGGTTGGGAGACTTGTGAGACTGCACAGCTGCCACATGACTGACACAAGATATAGTTTTATTTTCTGAAAAAAGGATTATTCATTCAGTGCTGACAGTGAAAGGTTTGAAACTTTTGCCCAATTTCTGATAATTTTCACATCCCCTTTACTGAACTCTTTCAGTATTTAACTTCATCATTTTATCAAACCCATAGTGAGAAACCTCCAAAGACCCTTACAAGATTTGAATCGATATGTAAATCCTTTGCAACCACTAAAGGCACCCTGTCTCTGATTTATGGGTCCTTGCGACCATCTAACAGAGGTGTTGCCTTCCTACCAATCTGGCAGACCACCTAAAAGTGCTCCCAGAATATTCAGATGTTGGAAAATTCATATAAGGTTCTCACTCACAGGTATTTTAAGCCAGGCGCATAGCTAAGTATGTTCCTGGATGGGATGCAGACCGAAGAAGACGTCCCTGTGTGGAGCTCCTGTGATCCTGCTCTCATCCTATGGTTATTTTCAGCCTTTCAGGGGTCTACCTCCTGGCACCAGAAGTTCCCCTCAGTGTGACTGTCTGCTTGATGCCATCCAAGCAGCGTTCCACCGAGCAAAGGGCAAGCGGCTGCCGCTGCTCCACGTGCTGACGCTTTCTTGGCCCTGAAGCTTCTTGTGGACATGGAGTAAGCTTCTGTAGCAGAGCCCCAGGTACCAACGTGCAGTCGGTCACCAGCGAGAAGATATCACCTTGATCCTGGCGATCCGTGGCGATTGAACACAGCAAGACCTCATTGCTGGTCAGGATAGATCATCTGGCTGAGAAGTGCAATCTGATCAGGAATGACCTGGATAAGATCAGGGGCTGCCTCACAGAATCAGAAGCCTGGGTATCAGAGGTTGAACACCGTACAGGACAACAGGCGACCATGTTTGCAGAATTACAGCAAACAGTTAAACTCCTGGTGGCAAAATAAGTTGAGATGCAACAATGCCTGGGTCCTTGGTCTCCCTAAAGGGGCAGAGGGTGAATGCCCGGAGGAGTTTGCAGAAACCTTCTTCAAAGATCTCCTGGATCTTTTTGATGTCTCCACCAATATGTAGCTGAATAGGCACACAGGGTTCCCGTTGGCCGCCTGACACCTGGGGCCCCCCTTCCTGGTGCAGTTTCTGAATGACCAGAACCAGGACTGCATGCTCACAGCAGCCAGGAACCATCAGAATCTACAATATGAAAATTTTCCCATCATGTTTTTTCCTGACTTCATGCATGATCTTCTAAAGAAGTGCAAGACCTTTACAGAGGTTCACCGTGGTCTCTGGGAACACAGCATCCAATGCAGTCTCCTGTACCCAAGCCATCTGCAGATCCAGCATGAGGGCACAACAAAATGTTTTCATACTCCAGCTGAGGCGGAAAACTAGCTTACCATGCTGTGGTAAGATCTGAGATTCCTGCTCTGCTAATACTTTACTGTTTTTGTGATTTCTAATTTGTTGGCTATGGAAGAGCAGCTTTGCCTCGGTTATTCCTATTTGGCTCCACTGACCTTACGGAGACATGCATTGTCTGTTACCTGCCAGCTGTTGTTTTTGGGCACTTGCGCTTATTATCAGCTTGCTGACATTGTTTTGCTGCTGATGGGCTCTCTGCTGCGGACCCTTTCCCCGGTTGGATTATCCTCTATACCTTGGGCTCCTGTATGTTGGGAGTGATCATACAGACACATGGCAGTTGCAGTACACTACAGAACCTTAATCAATCCCCCTTGCTTTTTACGGTGGGCTTTTTCTTGAACTTGCCAATAAAGCAGAAATCGTTTAGGCCGTGCATCGTAACATACAGTGTCTTCCGCAAACTGGGAAAACCAGGTGCTGTGCACAGCCTCCCATTGCCATGAATGGCTGTGCACAACTATACTCTAGTATAGGGCTTAAATTTTCAAGTCCTGAGCTACTAGCCAGGCCTTAGGAGTTACTCACCACCAGTTGCTCCACCCAACCGCTACCCTGCCGCGCCCCTAATCCCTCCCTTAAACATGTCCTCGTAAATTCTCTCATTAAATGACACTGTTAAATGTTTTATGCAGAATACAGTTACAGAAATAATTATATACCCTCCTCCACCCCCTCCATAGCCATGTCCTCAATAAAAAAAAAGGGGTGAGAGAGAGCGGGGGAAGGGGGGCTAAAAAGGGGAGTGATTGGTATTTCTGCTACTCGCAATTATGGCACCATCCCCCCATAATTTGAGGTTATAATGAGCACACAACCCCCTTTGTCATTCACTCTCTCCTCTCACCGGACCGGACTCGTAGCACGCTTGCACAATCCACCCTGTGGCCCTCCCCATCCTTTCAAGAGCCTGTCATAGGACCTCCTAAGGACTCTGGGCCCTTGGGTAGTGTGTGAGTGCCTAAATGTCTGAAAGCTTATTCCCCCTCTGGTGCCGGCACCCTACTCCATATCCATCGGCTGTTTGATCAATCTGGCCCTCGCCCCCATGTTATTTCAACTCGCGGAATGCGAGCAGGCAAGTGGAAATTTCAAGGCCTGCTCTAGTATACGCCAGTGCTATTCTAAATGTGAGTATAGCGTAAGGATGTGATTGATCTGAGGGCAGCAATCACTTTTAGCTGTTGACCCGTCCATGGCAAACTGCTTTTTTGCTGCAAGGCTTTTCTTATAAAGTTGACTTTAGTTTCAGAGGGATGGTATCTTGGGATAGTCATTTCTTTTACTAGTATTATGGGGAGTTTTTTATGTTCATAGGACTTAGTTTTTGGCAGACTATACTGTTAATGCCAATAAAAACCTTAATAAAAAAGGTCACAATTGTATATTGCATAGAGTTTACCACACCACAAAACATCTCCAGTCTCTATGACCTTTATTCAACATGCAGATTAGATTAAAGTGGTGTTCTCCTTCTTTTAAGTAGACAATTTAAATTTTATAGACCTTGAACTGATTTGATAGATCTAGACTTGTTAAAGTTGAATTCCAGGAATTCCTCTCCTTTGTAAAAGTGAAGGGATACTTAAAGTAAAGTTCAAGGTGCATTACACCTCCTTGTTGGAAATATGTTGTTATAAAATATATTTATGGAATATAAGTGTGTGTGTGCATATATGTATGTGTGTATGTATGTATATATATATATAATTTTTTTGGGCAGCAGAGGGGAGGGACAGGTATAGTTGCTCTTCTCACAGTTCAGAGTGTATTCTCCAGCAAAGCTATAAACTTGTCATACTTAAGGTGATTGTAAACCCTCACTGTAAAACAACCAATTCAGTTTAAAATAAAAAAAAAATGTAAAATATTTGTGTATAGATATAAAAGACATTATAAACACTTTTTCCCCCTTTTTGTTATAAAGGATCACATTCCCTTTATTCTCAGCTGCATAAGAGCAGGAGGAGGAGAAACACCAGAACAATGATCTTCCCAGTAAATGGCTGTATGGGGGACAGTACAAACTATACAGTACAAAGGGACAGTATACTTTTTCATACAAGTACATGGTACAGCAGGCACATATCAGGAATATGAAATCTTGGGTTTACATATTTTTTTATAATCGAGATAAGCCCACGAGGTGTCATGCACCTCAATGGACTTAAGTGATAAGGGGCATTTACTAAATCTGGAGCATGCAAAATCTGGTGCAGCTCTGCATAGAAATTAATCCGCTTCCAGATTTTATTGTGAAAGACTAATTGAACACACTGAAGTTGGAAGCTGATTGGCTACTGTGCACAGGTGCACCAGATTCTACATGCTCTAGTTTTAGTAAATCCCCCTTATAGTGAGCCTTCACTTTTTACAAAGGAGCTCAGCTCCTGGAATTCAGCTTTTAAGAGCTTATTTTAAATTTTGTTTCTTATTTTTAGATTTTTTATTTGTTCATATTCCTATTTTGGGTTATTTGCAAGACCCAAGCATGATACCAGAATGAAAATTAGCTGCAATTTGAATTTTTTGTTTTAGGAAAGGAACTAGTTGCACAAAAAAGTGAAAAATGTAATTAAGTAACTTACTATACAGTATATTAAATGTCATATATGAATTGCAGGGAACAGGGAGACACCTACTGGTGATCACTGACCTTGCAGTGTTCTGGTCCATGAACCATAGTGTCACCAGCAGCTATTTCAGCTGACCTTAAAGTACACAACATACATACCTATCACATGTCTCTCATTTCCCTCTGGGTCCAATAGGCTGGTGATTGCCTAGAACATTGCAGCCAAGGTACTAGAGTTGAAAAAGGCAGAGTTGTTGGCTGGCTGCTTAAGCAGAGGCATATAATCAGCATCTTTTTGTATTTCCCTTTCTGGTCCCAGCTGATGTGTTATGGTGGAAATAGTGGGGTATCGCCAGTCTGTTAGACTCAAGGAACAGAAGTATGCTTGAGGAGAGAGTACGAGGGTTCTACAGAAAGTTTCCACAATTTAACACATACACTATATTGCCAAAGTATTGGAACGCCTGCCTTTACACACACGGATGGTGCTAGATTATTTTGCACCCAAGGCAAGATCAGCTACTTGCAACCCACCCAAAAAAAAAGCAATCAACAAAACATGATTTCTTTTAATTTGAAAGGTAAGTGCCAAAAGATGCCACCAGCACTAATATTAAAGACATAATCAGTGTCAAGGAGGGACTGTATCTGTGGCTATGGGGGGAGATAAAATGCTGTGACAGAAGGCAGCCCAGCCCACACACACAGAAAGGAACGCCTGAACTGAGCGATCCCACACAGTAACAGATCCAACACAACACACTGCCACCAACACTGACACAGATCAGCAGGTCCAGTAGGCACCAGAAGAGCAGGCTGTGGGATTGTGATGTCATTAATCACTGCCACATCTGCCGGATCGCCGGCTGGCCGGGTCACACTCACACAGACACAAGTCCGCTGATGAATAGGAAGAGAAGGGATGGAATTTCACAATGATCAGCAGCCACTAGCTGGCTTGCAGTAAGGAACTGAGTCTGAGAGGAACACTGGAAGGAGCAGCAGCTCAGCTACTACACTGGCCCCAGACAACCGCCATCTTTTTTTGCCTTTTCTTTCTCCCCTATTCTGTCCCTCCCCTCAGCTGAAGGATCATTCATGATGTGGCGGAGTCCCAAACAGAGAGAGTGCCGGCCTGTGCTGTGCCCAAAAGTCCATCTAGTTCAACCAAAAAAAAAGTTATAATCCTATACCCACAGTTGATCCAAAGGAAGGCAAAAAACCCAGCAAAGGACGATACAATTTGCTCCTGCAGGGGAAAAATCCTCCCTGATCCCCCGACAGGCAATCAGATATTCCCTGGATCAATTTTACCTAAAAAGGTTAGTATCCAGTTATATTATGTGTATCTAGGAAAGAATCCAGGCCTTTTTTAACCACTTGCCTACTGGGCACTTATACCACCTTCCTGCCCAGGCCAATTTCCAGTTTTCAGTGCTGTCACACTTTGAATGACAATTGTGCGGTCGTGCAACACTGTACCCATATGATATTTTTATAATTTATTTCACACAAATAGAGCTTTCCTTGGTGGTATTTAATTGCCACTGATGATCATTGCCAATCTGTTTTCTGACAATTGCCAGTTATCGGCAGTACTTTCCTCGCGCTGTGACAACGTGAGGAAAGTGCAGCCGACAACTGCATTTACCTGGTGATCGGCTGTGTTGTTGGACACAGCTGATCACGTGGTAAAAGGCCGTTTGTGATTGGCCTTTTACCACATCACGTGATCAGCTGTGTTTGTAGTACACAGCGATCATGGAGATCACTGGGTGGGCGCTGCTGGGGGCACGCGGGAGGGTGTCATATGATGCCCTCCAAGAACTGGACAACCACGCTGTAGCCGTCGTTCAGCTATAGCCCGGTTGTCAAGTGTTTAAAGCAATCCACTGAGCTGGCCAGAACCAACTCTGGAGAAAGTCTATTCCACATTTTCACAGCTCTCACTGTGAAGAAACCTTTTTGTGTTTGGAGATTCAATTTCTGTTCCTCCAGACGTAAAGAGTGCCCCCTTGTCTTCTGTGAATAACTCTACACTCAGTTCATTATATGAGCCACTGATGTATTTATACATGTTGATCATATCCCCCCTTAATCTCCTCTTCTCAAGAGAGAATAAATTCAGTTCCTCTAATCTTTGCTCATAGCTGAGATCCTCCATGCCTCTTATCAGTTTGGTTGCCCTTCTCTGTACTTTCTCCCGTTCCCCAATGTTCTTTTTGTGAATTGGTGCCCAAAACTGAACGGCATATTACAGATGAGGTATTATTAATGATTTGTACAGGGGTAATATATCTCTCTCTCTGGAGTCTATACCTCTTTTAATACAAGAGAGGATTTTGCTTGCTTTAGAAACCGCAGCTCGGCATTGCATACCATTTATTAAGCTTGTGATCTACCAGAACTCCCAGATCCTTCTCCACCATTGATTTCCCCCCATTGTTCTCCACCTAGTATGTATGATGCATGTGTAGGTAGTGTACCGGTGTGGGCTCCCCAGGATACAGTGAAGTCACGAACGAGGAAAGCAACACCAGCTTTTGCCACAACAGAATTTTACTTAGATGTGGCAAATAAACACAACCACAAATGCTGGAAACATACAATAAATTTACATACACCCAGCCCAAAGGCTGAGACCCTTGTGCTGCACGGCGCCTTCTGATGGATGAAGGCAGAAAATGAAGTAATTTACCTACTGGTGGGCACAACTAAGCTGCCACACCTTACCTGTTATTACCCTAAAAGATCAAGAATCAGTGTATGGGTTTATGGTATGGGCTAGCCTGTGGTGCAGCACAACAGCTTACAATTTTACAAAAATCTACAGTATTCCCCCTCCCATAACTGGTCCTGTAGCACGTGCCTGAGTATTCCTTCTGAGCAAAACGCCAGTCTGGCTTGAGTTTGTGGGATTCTATCAGCTCTCCAATGTGCAATGTCACTTTAAGTTATGGAGTCCTTCTAATGATCAGTAACAACACTTGTGGCCTGACACAAACGGAGAACCTAACTAACGAACTAAAGGCCTGGACTCAGTCTCAAGGCGCCAACACTGAAATGAGGTGCGTGCATGATCTTACCGACCCGGGTCTGCTTTGCATCCGCTGGTGACTCTGAACAGAACAAATCTCTCCAACAAGCATGCAGTCTCGCCGTATATGTTGCTTAGTTCCTCTGCTCTCATCAGCATTCCTGGCAGCAATCTCCTCAGCTTCCTGGCAGCAATCTCATCAGCTGCACTTAGCTGCAGCTCTGGTTACGGAGGGATGCTTTCACACCTGGATGTCATCAGATTCTCAGCTCACAGGGCCCCTTATTCACCATGCTCCAAAAACATGGTGTTATGGACCACCTGGTGTACTCCAGCAGTCCACAGGACAGGATTCCCCAGGGCGTGGAGTCTAAGCCCCAGTCCGCTTGTTAACCAGAGCCCCTGATGGTGGGGATGGGCTTGGAGCAGACAGTGACCAGGTCGCGGCCCCTGAGTACACCCACCTGAGGTAGAGGAATAATGACAGGTGGAGAGCCTGGTGTGAAGAGGCAGACAGGTCTAAAGAATAGCAGCTAATCCGTGCGGGTTGGATGGATGGCTGAGCAATAGCATTTTCAGACGGGCCAGGTCAATAACGGGCGGACAGCGTGGTACAAGACAGCAGGCACAGATGAATCAGGTCACTCGCCGGGTCTGGTAACAGAAGTTCAGATCAGAAGGGATATCCAGAAGAGTAGTCAAACGAGCCAGAGGGTCAGGGCAGGAGAATATCAGCAAGGTCAGGTTCAAGCAAAGGTTAGCAACAGTCAGGAATCAACTCACAGATCACAGGAACAAGATCAGACCAATACGGCAACTTGTGTCTGTGCAGGGCTGGTTTAAGTAGCCCGCCCTGCGCCTGACAGGCGCAGCCTAGGCCCTAGTGCCTTCCCAGCGTCGTCATACGTGACGGGTGCGCCTGGGTCCTAGTGCCCTGCTGCCTGCATGTCTTGACAGACACCTACGCATGTGCAGACCCATGCGTCGTGATGGTCCCTGACACATGGCTTCTCCCTCTCCTTCCTGTTTTCTCTCCACTCTGTGTGAAAACTTCACCTCTTCATGAATATAGAAATATCTATGCAGTCTGAGGCTGTGTTAGAAAAACAGTGACATCTTGTGGCTAAACTGCAGAATGTCAGTCAAAACATTTAATTTACTCCACACAAGCAGTATTCAAACAATGAGAGCTGTTTCCCCATCTCACATGCCACCCTACTAGAGGTTGTCGTCCTCGGCAACCCTCCCCATACAAACTCATTCTGGGCATAACGCTGTGGGGGCACACCAGCATTGGGCCTTGTTGACCTTCGTAGAGTGACAGGCTCAGAAGCACTGGGGATGTCAGACACATTTACTGGGAGAGGAGCTGCTGACCGCTCAACACTTTCCCTTGGTGGCAAAGTTGCTAAGGTTGGAGCCTCTGTGGGTATCGGGGCAGGGACAACCCACCGTTCCTCCCCCTCCTCTAAGGGGATTTCCTCTGTACTCTGAGCAGGAGGAGCCATCCCCTCCACAAACACTGGTTAATCTAAATTACAACGCCTCAACATGTTACGGTGCAAGTTTTGTGAGGGCCCCCCAGTCCCTATTACCTCATAGACCGGGATGACAGGGTCTACCCTCCTCTTCACCGTGTATGGGACCGCCTCCCACCGCCCATCCAACTTTCCAGACGGTCGCATGGCTTTAACTATCACTCGATCACCCGGAGCATACCCCTCCTTCTGCACTGGTCTTGGATTGGGGTATACCACTTGTCTAAGACGCTCCCCCACAACCTTGTGGAACGCTCTCAGCCGGCGGCTGTGCTCTTGCACCCATGCGGTAGTATTTCTTGGTGATAGCTTCATCGGATCGGGCATGTGGAGATGTTCACTCTCCCGTCCGGCTCTCCCAAACATGAGCATACTGTATGTGGGGAGTATCTGGTGGTACTGTGTACCCTGTTATTATAGGCCCACATCAGTTCAGGTAGGTATTCGGGCCACTGAACTTTTTGGCGGTCCTCCAGAGTCTGCAGCATCTGGAACAAGGTGCGGTTGAACCGCTCGCACGCCCCGTTTCCCTGGGGGTGATACAGGGTGGTGCGGGAACATCGATCCCATACAGTTGGTACAACTCATTCGAGTACCATGAAAACATGCCCCCTGGTCCGAATGTATTCTCTGTGGACACCCGAACACCTGTATAAAGTGTTTGCAGACCACTGCAGCGGCCGACTCTGCCGTCTGGTCTCTGGTGGGTACAGCCACCGCATACTTTGTGAAATGATCTGTCATGACTAGACAATACGAGTGTCCCGAGGTAGAATACCCTATCTGTACATAATCGATCATAAGGAGCTCTAGCAGGTGGCATGGATGAGCACTGAGAGCTGGCACTGATGGACACTGACAGGTAGCGCTGCTGAGGCTACACAGATCATCAGGGCACACTGATCATCAGTGCTCTGATGATCTGTATACATGTCCCCTCCGAGGAATGCCGATTACCGGCTCTCCTCTTCTCACGAGCTGTCAGCGTGACAGCTCGTGGGGAGAGAAATGCCTATAACCGGCATTTCCCTGTTTACATGTGATCAGCTGTGATTGGACACAGCTGATCACATGACCGAGCCGACATCTTCGGCTCTTTCCGTTGATCGGTGATCCACTGTGTCTGAGGTACACAGCGCACCGCCGATCGCCATGCTGAACGCTCCGGGAGCCGCACATGCGCGGTGAGAATGGGAGAACGTCATATGACGTCCTCCCAGAATGAGAGAACTACCTTTTGTCTGTCATATTACTATATGGCGGGCAGGAGGTGGTTAAAAAGTAAGGGTCCCAACACTGAACCTTGGGGTACACCACTGAGAACCCTAGACCATTCAGAGTATGAATCATTAATCACTACTTTCTGAATACAATCTGTTAGCCAGTTTTCTATGCATTTACATACAGATTTTTCCAAGCCTGTCAACTTTACCTTACACATTAGCAGTGTGTGGAGAACTGTGTCAAATGCTTTTGCAAAATCCAAGTATATCACGTCCACCGCCACCCCTCTGTCCAATGTTTTGCTCACTTCCTCATAAATAGAAATCAGATTTGTTTGACAACTTCTGTCTTTCATGAATCCATGCTGTCTGTTGCTTAAAATATTTTTTTCCAGCAAGAACTCATCTATGTGGTCTTTTATTAAACTCTCCAGTATCTTCCCAACTATAGAAGCTAAACTAACAGGTCTATAATTACTTTAAAAAAAAAGAGCCAATGTATCATCTGGTGCAGTGTCAATACCATGTCCATTATGGACAAGAGCTCCCCCTTGCTCCTGCTCTTTGTCCCCAGTCACCTACTCTAGATTTATTTGTAATTGTCCTACATTCTTGGACCTGACCTTTTTTACTATTAATATATTTGAAGAATTTTTTGCTGTTTGTCTTGCTATCTTCTGAAATCTGTCGTTCGTTTTCAGTTTTTGCGGCCTTGATTTCCTTTTTTACATATTCTGTTTATATTCTTTGAAAAGTTTAAACGATGATAGCATTCCTTCATTTTTATATTTAATAAAAGCTCTTTTCTTATTTTTTATAGCTTTTTTAACTTTGGCCGTAAGCCACATAGGTTTGATTTTTAGCCTTTTAACCATTTGCCCTCCTGTGGATTTACCCCCCTTCCTGACTAGGCCATTTTTTTTTGCGTTACGGTGCTGCATTACTTTAACTGGCAGTTGCGCGATCATGCAACAAATTGAGCTTTCTTTCTGTGGTATTTGATCACCTGTGCAGTTTTTTTTTTTTTTTGCCCTATAAAAAAAAGACTGACAATTTTGAGGAAAAAAAAGCGGTTAAACTTGTTGCCCATGGGAATCTATTTTGCAGTGTGTTCACATAATCTTTTTGAAGAACGCCCAATTCTGTGTTGTGTTCATCGATGCCAATATTCCCACCCAGTCTAAGACTTAGAGAGCAGCTCTCAGCCTTGGAAAAATAGCTCTCTTAAAGTTGAGCTTTTTTTATATTTCCTGTATGTGCTTGTTTACAGCTAACAATAAATGAAATCATGTTATGGTCACTGCTACCCAGATGTTCTTTTATATGGACATTAGTAATATGCTCTGCATGGTGTGAGATTACCAGGTCCAGCAAAGCATCATTTCTAGTTGGGGCCTATATGAACTGTACCATAAAGGTATGTTTATACATTTTTTTCCCCTTAACTGTTCCTGCAGTGCCATTACTCCAGTCAATTACCGGGTAGTTAAAATCCCCCATTATTATCACTGTCCCAGCCCTTGCAGCCCTTTCGATCTCTGCAAGGAGCGGAGTCTCCACCTCCTCATTAACACTGGGTGGCCTATGACAAACTCCAATGATAACCTTTTGTAGTATGCACCCTCTTGTGCAGTTCTACCCATAATGCTTAAGCCTCATCACACTCTCCATCAACTAGATCTCTTTCACACTCGCTGTGAGATCACTTCTTACATAGAGGCAGACACCACCACCTTTCCTTTTTACCCTGTCTCTCCGAAAGAGAACATAGTGAGGAATATTATTGGCCCACTCATGTGAAGAATGAAGCCATGATTCAGCAATACCAATTAAATCATAATTCTCTTCATGCACCAAAGCTTCCAACGCCCTCATTTTGTTTGGCAGACTTCTGGCATTAGTGAACAAACACTTTAATTCACTGACACCTTTTTAACACGTATTTTGCATATTTTTTATTTATGTACAAATGGTACCAATTCCAATGGTTGTTTGGAACATGGGCACCTTATCACCTGCCATAGCCCTCTCCCCATCTTTCCCCATTCCACCCACCAATGACTGACCCCTGTCTGATCTGTCTGCCCCATTATAATGTAATTCTTCAACCCCCCCTTGATTCTAATTTAAATACTCCTCCAGCCATCCTATAAACCTTTCCGCAGAACAGTAGACCCCCTTCCATTTAGGTGCAAACCATCTTTAGCATATAGGTTGCATCCCAATGAAAAGTCAACTCAGAGCTCTAGAACAGGGTCTCCAATTTTCTAAACAAAGGGGCAGTTTACTGTCCTTCAGACTTTAGAGGCCAGACTGTGGCCATAAGGAGTAGAAAATGTCCCATTGTTGTTGTCTTTGGTAGGAATTGTTCCCCGTTATTGGTAGGAATTGTGTCCCAACATTGGTGTCATTGGGAGGAATTGTGCCCCATCACTGGTGTCAATGCAAAGAATTGTGTCCCATCACTGGTGTCATTGGAAAGAAATGTTCCCGTCTCTGGTGTTATTGGGCCCCATTATTTGTGTCATTAGGATGAACTGTGCCCTATCATTGGTGTCATTGAGAGGAATTGTGTCCCATCATTGGTATCATTAGGAGGAATTGTGCCTGTTCATTGGTGTCAGTGAATGAAGTAGTGCTCCAAGGGCCAGATAAAAGTAAGCAAAGGGACACAGTTTGGAGACCACTGCTCTAGAAACCCAAATCCTTCCCTCTTACACCAATGTCATCCCAGTACTAGTCCGTAGATTTCAGTTATGAGTTGGCCCATCTATAATAGCTTCAACTCTTTTGGGAAGGCTGTACACAAGATTTAGGAGTGTGTCTATGGGAATGTTTGAATCATTCTTCCAGAAGCACATTTGTGAGGTCAGGCACTGACGAGAAGGCCTGGCTCGCAGTCTCCCCTCTAATTCATTCCAACGGTTTTATTGGGTTGAGGTCAGGACTCTGTCTGTGAAGGCAAGTCACGTTCCTCCACCCCAAAATAGCTCATCCATGTCTTTATGGGCCTTGCTTTGTGCACTGGTGCGCAGTCATGTTGGAACAGGAAATGGCCATCCCCAAACTGTTTCCACAAAGTTGGGAGCATGAAATTGTCCCAGATTGTCTTGGTATGCTGACACCTTAAGAGTTCCCTTCGCTGGAATTAAGGAGCCAAGTCCAACCCCTGAAAAACAACCCTACACCATAATCTCCAACCCCTCCGCTAAACTTTACACTTGGCACAATGCAGTCAGGGAAGTACCATTCTCCTGGCAATCGCCAAACCCAGACACGTCCATCGGATTGCCAGACAGAGAA